TTAACATTTTGAACTTTCGCACACTCAATTTCCCTGCTTCCACATTAGGAGCGAACCCAAGTTGAATCTTTCCTTCAGTACCGTTTTTAAGTCTCACCATTCGCCCCTTGCATATCACAAATGTGCCTGAGAAAAAAAGAAACAGCAGCTCCTGGGAAAATTGTAGGAGAAGCAGACGTGTACTTGTGATAACTAGTTGAATGAGCTGCTGGCGCAGTTGAACTCGGTATGGCAGCCAGCTAGGAGTGATGTGGTATCATTGTTTTAACCACTATTGAAAGAAAAATAGTATGTTATTAGTGTTTAGCACAGTAATTTTTGTAAGAAGAACTATAATCAATTGATAAAGATAATTCTTGTCATTGACATTGGAAGGAATCGGAGTTCACTTATAGTGTTACGCCTTTACTTCGTGTTAAGCACAACGCGATTCCTCTTACAAGCTCTGCAATTCTGCTGCAGCAAAAGCCGCATGACCATCATTGGCGTTTATGTGATGACCAGCATTTTAAACGCTGGTATGGAGAAAAAGGGCACGAAAACACAAACTTTGAGTCTACGTGAGGCAGTTAGTGTCCAAAGATCGTGACTGCACGTCACGGCCACAGTCGACTTCTAGAGCCCTCTGAGTCACAGTTGCCGATGCCTTCGATCGGCGCTCCTCAAGGCGCAACGAGGCGGAGAGTACTTTGTCCTGCCAAAGGGAGAATTGCGGCATGCAAATGCACTGAGGAGCTAGCACTCGAAACGCTTTTGTTAGTACGAAAAAAGAAAAAAGAATCGTTAGCACTACTTTCACAAGGGTGAACTGCATTCGACTTAATAAATAACTGATGGCTGTCTACATCTTAATTCAACTATTTGCTCCTTTGCTTTACTACCCGACCTTTCCTATTTCTTATGGTGCCAGTATCTTATCTAAGAAGATTCTTTTGCTTTTGTAAGCTACCTTAAAAAAGTTTCGGAACTGTACCAACCACTAAATGCAATAAACAGTTTCAGTATAAATTACCAATTCGTTACAGAGGCCTGCCAATCTTTTTCACGAGGCTTCGCTCGACAGTAAGTGACTCTTGTCCAGTTCAAAATTATCCAACGCAATGTAATCGATGCAGAACAACAGAGGATTCACTTTGTGCTGTACGAAAACTTACTCGCCTGTACACCTATCGACGTATGAATAGGTGTTAAAAGGTGTTGTTTTACAATCGGGTGCATCAACTGTGCACCAAGGCACTAAACCAAATATTCCTTGTTAGCGATATTTCACGCTTTTACTCTCATTATCAGATGTGCTATCGGCCATGTAATGAATGTTTCCCCGCGAGTGCCTGGCTTTCCTCATCCACTTCTCTGTGCCGGTCGACTTTTGATGTCGATTGCTAGGCAATGAAACAATTGAGCAATTTCTCAAACGAACAACCTTGCAACTCTTCATTTCATTGCATAACCTGCAGTTTTAAGGTAGCAAAGTTTTGAATTAAGACTCAAGTGAATAATTTAACTACATTGAGGATAGAGAGGAAAAGACTGCCTAAACCTGAGTAGAAATGCATTGCGTCTCCTATAGAAAGAATGAAAGCAGATCGTTTACTTTTCTTAACAGGGACTCTAAAAACTAAAACAGCAAAAAGTGGAATAAGAAAGCTCCCTCTTGGCTTTTAAGAAACGTGCTCGTTCACTATTCACTCTCGTGCAAGTTAGTTGAGGTGGTCACTGCGGTTCTTTGCAAAAATTGTGACATCTGTCTTCACCGCCACATGATTCGAGTTTCCTGTAGCCTTTATCAGAAAAATTGGTTTTCGCACACAATCATGTGCGTTTTTGACTGCCTCTAAGTTTTTGAGTGGCTAAGTGTTTGCTTTCTCTTTTACCGTCGCCCCAACCCCGTGTTCACGGGGTTAGAGCGCCCTCCCTCTAGAATAGGAAAACCGCCAATAACGAAGGTGACAGGAGGTCGTGCGAAAAGAAGGAACTTATGCGCATTCCTGCGCACGGTCGGAAAGAAAGGCCAGCAACTGATTTAAGGAAGTGTTTTTTGCAAATAAATGCTGAAAATTTTCTCAAACAATGGCAGTCGAACCAAGAAGAGGGCTCGTAATACTTTACTGATGCTAAACTAATTAGGTTTGTCTGAAAATCAAGAATTATCGAGATGCAAACCTTCGGAGCACCCTCAAAATAAGTGCTGTGTGTTTAATTTGCCCACTTTGAACTAAGGGAAAAGTAAAACCCTGATAGTCTCGTTAAAATGTGTATGATAGGTTGAAATACCATTCGCTTATATTTTCAAGGAAATCAACCGTATCGCAGATGCCTTCTGAGCCTTAAAATTGTAGTAGAAAAACATTGACTTTAAAGAGCGAGACTTCACTAGTCCAACGTTCCTTCGATTAACTAATGCCAACATTCTAGGTTCTCTTGCTCACTTCGTATTGCTTTGAACCATAACTAAAAAACTATCCCTTGGAAGGACAGGCGTGCCTAACCATCAGTGTGGCAAACAGAATGTCCCGAAACTGGCTACTCACTTCAACTTGATGCTCATCTTCAACAAATGCTTTTCTGCCATAACGAAGAGCGTTAGATTTGTTGGGGGAGTAGTTTTTTAACACAATTACTTTCCTCAAAACCACTAGCTATTACCTATAGCAGATGACTTTTGAGCTTTCCTTTTTAAGCGACAATCTTTTCAATTTTAGACAGCTGACAAGTAACAGGTAGTCAAATATGGGATTAAGCACAGCAGAAGAAATACGAACAACTGTTTGGTTAAAAATGGCAATTGGAAGTACCGAGTGCGATATCTGACTTAAATGAAGGACGGAAATCAGGTTGTGGAAATATGGGTGGATTAAAAGTGCTTGCTGTTTACGAAAATAGGCAAATCCTCAAAGATGTGCATATTCACTTCTAGCATCGTGGCATCCACAGTTAATTTCAACCGAAAAATTGCAATTTCCTTCTATTAAAATGCGCTATAGGCGTCATTGAATCCAACAGTAATTGAAATGATCTCCCAGGTCTAGTCACTTAAAAAACCCTCCTTTGGAAATAGGAAAAAAAGGAGATACCTGGGCGCATTTTCAATTGTTATGACGTCTTTGAAGACTAATGGTAAACTTGGCTTTAACTTATGAAATTCTACCAACTAGTAACAAATTTTATATTTTAACCAAACGCCCCTCCAACAACTGAGTCGGGAGTGCTGTGATTATACATGAATCAAACCGCCGCAAAGCCCTAGAAGAGCTTATCTTTGCAGAGAATTTGTACTCAGGACTCGTATGCACAGGAGAAAGGTGAAAATACTCTAGAAATAAAAAGCAATTACTCTTCGTTGATATAACTCGGTTATGAGGCCTATTGGCCAGAAAGCTTCACACATTCAAATTCAAGACGCGTGGACACCTGGTTAAAGAACGAGCGAACGCGCGCACTCACATACACACGCCCGTACATACAAAGCGTATGTTCCAAATTTCTTTCTTTTGCTCTCTCTCTTTAAACAGGGTCAGAGCACATACACCGGAATGCCTCATCCCCTCCTCCCCCCTTTGCCCCTTTCACGAGCACGCGAAGATGATTTACCACCGCGTCTGTGTAGGTGCGCGTGTGATGAGTGATGGTGTTGCGTCGTCTTGCGCTTGATGCGGTGGGGTGAAGGGAAGACTTAGTCACCGGGAGCCCTCGCAGTGCGGCTGTGGTCAAATAGCCTGGCGCTCATGGGATCGGCTTTCTTCCCCTGCCCTTCGCCAATTTGCTAAAATAGCGACACCTATGGAACGTCGCCTCCTTAACACCCTACAGCCGCACACTTAAACTGTTCCGAGTTCAAGTTTAAGTGGATGATTGCATCAATATTTTCACAAGTTTTACCAAAATCTACCTTAAACATGTAGTGACTATGTCGCTCGACTACTTCATTTTAAGCAGCTTTTCAACGATTCTCATAAAGTGGCCAAATTCACAATAACTTTTAGACGTGGATGAAGAACTTACGAGCATGAACTTACCCTAATATCATTCTGAGGCGCTTACGCTTCACTATGATAACAATCCGAACGTTACATACAATAAGAGCTGAGGCTAGGAATCATGACATTGCCAACAGCACGAACTTGACACATAAACACCTACTGAATTGCAAAGTAGTAACTATCAAAAACTCAAATAGAAGAAGTGGGCACCCCATAACTGCATCATAAACAAGAATTGACTCAGCTTCTGTTCCCAGAGGATACATGTCCGAAATTTTCCCAAGGTTGTGAAGGCCAATGAAGTAAATCGCTAGAAACTTTCAAAAGCACAACGCTTAATAGAACAGAGGAGATCAGAAATGCATCGGACGAACAACAAAATCCAGTCTAAACTCTCACTAAAAATAACCTACAAACACTCCCGAACACAGGTAATCAAACCTGGCACAGAGGAACCAGATCGTGTATACACTAAATGTCTCCTAACTGCGTGCATTGGCGACGGTACAAACTGGAGACGTGAGGAGGGGATTCAACAAGCTGCCTAGCGTCCAAACCACTGCCCACGCAGCGAAAATAAGCGTAACCACTAACACCTATAAGGTCCAAAATAGCGAGGGAGCTACTTCTGACTCATCTCTTGAAGAGTGACTACAAAACGGGAAAAAATCGATAACAATTCGGTCGATAATAGCCCACTAAAAAAGCCAAAGAAACCAACCCGAATCCTTATGTATATGAACCCACACTCAGTCGAAATTAGCTTGAGTTCATGCTCGGACAGAAGAAGCGAAAAAGCAACCAAACACGAACCGTAGAATCGATTACTCTCAAATGAAATTAAATCACTTAGCCATTAAAGCAAAATCTAAATTGAGCCAAATTCACGCATGGGTTACCACAAACCCCTCAAAGAAAGAGGTTTATAATGTTCGTCCAGTCACAATTATGTACCTCGAGAACATCATAAATTAGCACAAATAAGTAAAGGTACACAGAACAAAAAACTTGGCAAAGTAATTAGAGAAGACGAGTCTCACAACCACAGAGGGCCCATTTGTGGTGTACGACTTCAAGAGCTTCCCATTCTGCTTTGAAGGCTTTTTGGATATCCGGCGGCTGTTGATGACTGGACATCATCTGTTCCTGAATAAAGAGAGGCTGAGCTACGGCGCTGTCAGATCCTAGAACCAATTCATGTAGGCTTCGAAGTCCGAATATATTCAAGAAATACCACGAGGCTGAGCTCACCCTGCACCAGTAAATAGAGGTATGAAGACACAGATTACCAAGAGGCATCTAGTGACACAAGAGTTTCGCAGCCGCGCTGCAGCATTGGCTTAAAGCGATAGGTCAGAGGAAAGGGAACTTTGGTCGTGAGAAACCCAGAAAATGCCCAATTTATCCATCCACCAATTACCAACATTGGCACGACGTTCAACATGTTACCCTTCATCATATCACTAAGCATCGAAGGATCTTACAATCATAGTGAAAGACGACCCTACCTGCCATTGGGTTTTTGACAGAATTTTCCCGTTTTTGAGTTTTGAAAAACCCAACCTCACTGTCATTGAAGAAATGCTTGCGCATTTTAAAACCCTAAACAATGTGGACCCCAAAAAGAAACGAGATACATTGCGAGTGATATAGTTCCCATTTTCTCTAAGAAGCCGACTTCGCATTAGAGCATGACTAAAAGCTGAAGGATGACGACAATAGCCTCACCTATCAGACACGGCTTGGAGATCAGGCTTTTTATTGGAGACCATCAAGACCGTAAGATAGTGACGAATTACTCCATAAAAGAAAGTAATGACGACGATGGGAAGAAAGACCCAGAACCTTATGGCTGAGTCCAAAATTAGCTCAACCATAAGGGACCAACGATGGGACCAATAAAGCAAAGCGACCGTGTAAGGCGTCCGGTCAAACAAGTGCAGATGTTAACCTTTTTTAAATTTAGGTATATAGCACTTGACTTTTGCGATATCACTATTTCAAATGATTTTCTACCAACGAATAAACTAAAATTAACACGCCCCAACGTTTCCTACTTAATGATCACAAAATTTTCATATAGGAGTCTGGTATGAGAATTCAAGGCAGTGCCATTAAATACCTAATGAAAAGTATTGTAAGTAACTCATAAACCTTACATTGATAAAGCAAATCAAATTATACTTTGTTGGCTTAAGGGAAATATTTTCGAATCAATATTAGAACTTGTAACGACGCAACGTCTCGAGACTTGTTTGACATTTAAAGCCCTTGCTCATGCCCAAGTAACTGTATCTAAGGTTAGGAAAAAACGATTACTGTAGAGCCCAAGAAGTCCCATCAGTTAAAAGCCACTGAGCTCGGCTGTAAACATATATTAGTGGAGGATAAGAGGGAATTGAATCTTGGCTTGGCTCAAAGGCCAGTCTACATGCGAGGTCAAGTTGAACGCAAAGTAACCACTAAACACTAGGTTGCCACATAAACAAAGTGCTACAGTGAGGCTTTGGCATGCCCCGAATCCAAGCCTATCTGAGAAAAGCAAGGTGATCGCCTAAAAGCGACTACCAGTCAAACGAGTAGCCAAATAATCAAGGCGCTTCAAATTTTTTACTCATGCACATTCTATCGTTGGCTGGCCCTACTTGATAGGTCATATTTTCTTCCGTTGGGTGAGCTTGCTTTCAGCCCATGACATAAGTACAATACTTTGGTTGTGTGAACACATAGTATCCGGTGGGCATTATGTTATTCGTCTGGCCCTTGTACGCGTGGGTCACGTATTCAACTCCACTTACTGGCTTCTAGCACCCGGTAAGAAATCTCACTACACTGGTGGCATCAGAAAGCGTACTCAACAACTTTAACGACTCCTTTCCTAATATTAACCCTTTGCAGTATGTACTCAGGGCGTAAAATAGGCGCACTTACATCCATAGCGGGGGAACTTCTGAATTCTCCACATTCAAAGGGTTGAGAATGATGTCTGTGTTTGGCTTCAGCTTGTCCTCGTGTTCCACGGACAAGCTATCAACAACTGAAGCAACACCGCTATTGGATCGCATAAAAAATTTCTTGTCGAAAATTGCCCTGCTTCATCTTATTCTCATGTTTCACAGACTAGTTATGAACGACTGAAGCGACACCGCCGTGAACCAGTTGGAGGAAATTCGTATTGGAATTTTTCATACACAATCCGTGTATAGGTATTGGAAATGAAATTACAGTTCTCCTTACATACGAAACAGTTCCTTATCCCTTATTCCATGTAACATATCTGTTTTATACCAGAGTTCCACCATCTAGTCCTGAAAGGAATTGATGTTCAAAAGATGTATGTGTAGTGTCTCGAGACTTCCCACAGGGTGGAAGAAGGCAGTAAGTGGGATTGGATACAGAGCAAATGGGCCTGAGCATGACTAGGTCAGCACACCTGTAAAAGGGCTAAATAAATCCTAAGGTGACTGCCTAACGCCAGGTAGTCACATAATCAAAGCATTGCACTGCCTGTCTCCTCTTTTGAGTGACGTCCTCGGCGCTCCTCTTTGGTGCACCTCCCTCGCCAGCAATCACAACATACTCGGTACTACAAGAAGGCACCCACGAACCAACCGCACCAGTTGACAGATAGCTTAGGACGGAGGAACCGTATCTTGTCTCCTCGACAGCTTCAAATGAATCTGGAGTTACTTTCGGTGTGACAACCAGATTTGGGACTAAATACACCTGTTGATCATCAATTGCTTCCAAGACTAGACAGTGGAATTCTGATCGTATATAAGGAGAACCCTAGTGTCACTTCCGATACCTATACACGAATTTTGTATGGGAATTTCCGACCTTAAACATTTCCAGATGGTTCATGGCGATGTCGCTCCAGTTGTTAATAGTTTGTCTGTGAAATACAGGGATAAGGTGAAGCCAAATGCAGATGTCGGTCTCGACTCTTTCGTTGTGTAGGATTCAGAGAGTCTTCTACACCGTTGCAAAAGCGTCTCTTCCACACCGTAGTTATATGCGACAAACGGTACTTGCTAGGATAGGGGTCATTGGGTGAAAGAAGGTAATAAGGGGGACTAGATATATGTATTCCGGAGAGAACAGAGCGAATGAGCCTGAGCATGGCCCGAAGGCCAGCCCACCTATGCGAGTGCTAGACAAATCCCAAAGTGACCGCCAAACGCTAGGTAGCTACATAAACAAAGCATTACAGTATGCGGCTCCGATTATGGTTGTCAAACCGAAAGTAACCCCAGATTCAGTTGAAGCTGTCGAGGAGACAAGGTACGGTTCCTCCGTCCTAAGCTATCTGTCAACTGGTGTGGTTGGTTCGTGGGTGCTTTCTTGTAGTACCGAGTATGTTGTGATGGCTGGCGAGGGAGGTGCACCAAAGAGGAGCGCCGAGGACGTCACTCAAAAGAGGAGACAGGCAGTGTAATGATTTGTTTATGTGATCATATGACGTTTGGTGGCTACTTTAGGATTTGTCTAGCCCTTGTACTCACGGGCTGGCCTCCGGACCATGTTCAGGCCCCGTTGCTTTGCCATATTTGGAATACATGCATCCGGCTTCACCCACTGCATTCTTCTACCAGGTGCGCAGTCGTGGGACGCTAAATATAGCCTCAAAGAGCTTATGTAGTTCGAGTTGATGAATGCTAAAGAACCAAAATATTTCCAATGAAACATTAGAAAAAGTAACATTAATTAACTGAAAGAACTTCATCGAAGACCAAACAAAACTCCGCCTGCGAAACTGAAAAAATTAAAGAAGTCGTTCAAAAGCTTAATCGAAATATCCGATTTTTTCGGTAATTGAGAGAGCAATATGACACTTACGCATTTGAAGCGCTGAGGTTTCTACGAGGCATAATACGAATGCAAAGTAATTAGTAAATAGTCCACTCCTGAACTTGCACCATAATGGCAGAGCATGCGATAAGTATGTATAATTCTATTAAGCTCCTCTTTTCCATCATATAACTAACTAAAAACTTATGTGCCCTATTTCTTTGTTTGAACTAGCTCTGTTTCGTATGTACGAAAGGATTGGCTTGTGAGCACTGCCTTTCGCGGTTCTTGGCCGTAGTTTAGGCTCTTGTGTCCTCTTAAAATCGTGTAATCGCTGTTATCCATTGGAAATAAGCTGAATAATGTTTTCAGGTATCCATTATTTTTGACTCTACTCATTCTTACTAACAGTTAACGTAGTTAATGCCCTTTTTGCTGCCCTAGGCACCATCTGATGAAGTTATTTCTTCCAACCTCACGACTGCCTTCGAGGTTTGACATATTAACAGAACAATCAGAACCGCAGGGTCATAATCATCTAAGCTTTTACGAGGGGAATAATTTCTCACATACGAATACACCTCGAGCAATTGGTTATCAGAAACCCAAACACTTGTGGATGGCTAAGGATAACTCACTGAATATTCTCGATAGCACATCGACAATGAATGACGAATGTCTGCATTTTTGTTCCGGTTCTCGGCCCAACAATGAGTCGCGTACGACTTCTGAGCATGTATTCTCTTCTCATCAAGTTGCAGAGTTGACTCCACTGCGTAACGGTTATAATGGAGTATCTCCATCTAATTCCAGCAGTGCCCCAGGAACAATTGCAATGCCTTCCTCATTGACGAACACAAGCAGTAGCCCCAGCAACCATCCCTCTCCGCAAAATAGGTTTGGGGTTAGCAATGTTGCTGGTCCTCATTACGAAAGTCCGGTTGTCTCTTATCCACAAAAGGGGGGATCTCATGCAACGCATTGTATTGACTCTTCTGAATGGAAGCCCAAACGTAAACGAGGTCGACCACCAAAGACAAAGTCAGATAACGTCGATGTCCATACTCATCCAGTAAGTCGGAAGCGTCAATCTCGATTGGACTCAAAAGTCCGCGAAAATTGCTCTATGCCTCAGCCGAGCACTAGTTCAGCATTTTTGACAGGTGGATTAAAGATACGCCTTCGTAGGGATGTTTCCGTCGACGAGCCGATTTGCGGCAAAAAGTTCCGATCCCGAAAATCAAATCAGAAATCCGTTCAAGTTTTCCGAATAGTTGAATCATGGTGTGATGCTGACGCACCTGGTGGACTTGCTGCTAAGTCAAACGCAGTCTCTCCCATGTCCACCAATCAGACCTCAGGAGGTTTTAGAGTTGGGGATGTGGTGTGGGCCAAGCTCGCTGGCTACCCGTACTGGCCTTCAAGGATCAGCGCGTTGTATGCGCGGACTCCTCATCAGCTGGCTCAGGTGAGTCCCGAAAATGCGAACAGTGACTCGCTGGCGGTGTCCGCAACCCCTGCGGATCCTGCGTTGGCTCCCGGTTTCACGGCAAAAGTGGAATGGTTTGCTTGGAATCAATGCTCTTATCTTAGTTGTGCGAAACTTTTCCCTTTTATGGAGTACTTCGCTAAGCTTTACACTCCTCGAACTCGTGTAAAAAACTACGCAGAAGCGGTTAATATGGCAAAGCTCGTTGTTGAGGGTGGTTCAAATGGGACGCAACTGACGTCAGAGACACAAAGTGATATGGAGAAAGGTTCCTCCGCGTCCTTATCACTGTCAAATAATACCGAGCATGGGCGCTCTGACTTGTCCTGTCCTCCTGATCTCCATTTTGCTTTCAGTCCTCTTAGTGTCCCAAAGTATTCTGATGGCTTATGTCTTCCTGATCTTCGTCTCGCGTTTAATCCTACGAATCCTCAATTTCCCGTGAGCAATCAGGGCCCAACGGAGAATGGTCACTTTTCATTTTTAAATCTTGAAGTAAATTCGGGTGACTTCTCTCAAGTTCCGGAGCAGTGTTGGGGACCTCTACCGCAGTTGGACGTCAGTGGGTTAAATGAGTTCAATTCTGGCGTGCCGACCTTCTCTGAAGACGAGGACGAGGGGAATGAGTCTCTGGCCAATCAACTCAAGTCTGAACTGGGTTCCATTGGAATATGAGCGTTGATATCTAATCTGTAGTGTATCTTCTAGCAAGCATACGATTTAATGGCAGCAGCCGTCGTTTGCTCTTGTAAATATGAGACTATTTTCCCACAAAAACGCACTCTAGGTGTTTGCTGTTTATTGTCATAGAACGGCCAATTGGTATCGTACTTTTGATGCGACGAATTGGATAAAAAGTAAGCTATGGCTCAAAAGTCCGCTACACTTCTTTTGTGTACATATATATATTGTAACTGTGGTATTCGACACTACACTTCCCATCTTGTTCACTTGGAACATCATATCATCATGATCTTCACTTCACTCATGCTTAACATTCTTCGACCTTTTTAAACCATCGCGTAATGACTTGTCTTACTTGTTTGTATTCTTCCTTTTAAAATTCAAAGACCAGATTTAGCTGTGGTTTTTTTTTGTGATGGAGAGGGGTTTATTAGTTAACTTAGATGCATTAGGGGCACCTGGACTACTGATTCAAAACACTTTGCGTGTGGATTCGACGTTGGGTGTTGATTCGTTGTGGATGATTCGGCCCTGTGAGAGACGTTGCGGTATGCTCTATGGAGTCGGTTGTCGCGTGGCGCGATTTCCATGGAGTAGGTGGTTGTACTATTTCTAGAGATTCAAGCCAGGTTTTCCTGTTTATATCCTTTACTAGTAGGAATTCGGGAAATGCATTTTTAAGGCCAGATAGAGTAGTGTCCACTTCAATTACAAGTTAGTCGCATGATGGGTGGGGTTCTATTCTTGGGAATGCTATTTGGTAGTTTCTCGCATGTGGTTGTTAGTTTCAAGGTTTCGAGCTTACTTCCTGTAGGTAGAGATGAAGATGGGTCAATGCGTGTTCGCCGTTACAGTGATGAACCTTTGTCTGTCAGGAGGTTGGAATCATTTTCGATTCCAATGCATCTCGAGTACTTTTGTGATTTTCGACTGTCAACTGTGGGAGGTCGCTATTTTAGTTGAGTAAAGTCAACTCTTGGATGAAGGGTAGTGACATAATTTAACGTTTTAATCTCAAAAATATGTGGGTCGAATAGATAAATTTGTAGGTGTCCTTCATTCTGCACTAGCTACAACGATTTCGTTAATTAGTTGACATTACTTGTAATGGTCTAGGACGATCCAGCTGATTAAGAGTCGCCAAACACTTGCGCCAGTCATAAAAACTACCACTCGCTTTTCCATTATTTGCGATTTCTTTGTTACGTCTTCTATACGACACTGATGTGTATTCATAATGCATACCCCTTGGGATTGGCACTAGAAGAAGACGGTGGGGGATCGAGTTATGGGCTGTTTTCGTTCAAACGTTTGCCTAACATCTGAGTCTCCACTCAGATTACCCCACTTCCGAGGTTCGTAGTAACACCTCCAGAGCTTTATGCAGTAGGATCGGACTTTGTTGTAGAGACTTGGTGTTTGGTTATGGTGTGGTCCCAACCTCGTCGTTGCCCAACTCCCCCTCCTCCAACGTTTCCTCAGGAAACGGTTTGATTGCAAATGTTTTAGTTAGCATCTCAAGAGAGTGAGAGCAATAGTATACAGGCGGGGAGGCGATTAGGCCCAGAGCGGGACTCATGTAGCCTCAGTCGGTCCTTCCAGTACGACGTTAGCTTTATATCCTCTGACCTACAAGGTTGAAGTAAAAAATCAGCTTTAACGTATTACATACAGGACTCGTAGTGCTCACTTAAACGACTGCAACGGCTTTTTGCGTTGCCATTACGACTTTATCAGAGATGCATTTGTAGGAGAAGGCATGTCAGTTCAAAGTGTATTGAGGTAGTTGCAAGATCTAAAAGGTGGGGACCAACAAGAGACACGCAGCTACATATACGTTTAACTGCCTGCTTAGCCGGACCTTCTCGTGGAAGTGGCAGTCGATACTAATGCCATTGCGACACTTCATTTGGTTAAAATAGTCGTGAGTAGTCGATATGAAACCAGAGTAATTGTAGGCGAAACAAAGTGTAGTTGAGATAATTTACTTTTCGATCTCATAGGACCTAAATAGTTTGCATTCATGGGTAGGGATCGAGTGCTCAATTGGTCATTTTACGCCATTGTGTAAGGTTCCCTTAAAGTCTTTTGTTATCGGACAAGCGAGGGTTCCCAAAAGTAAACTACTACGGGAACTGAGGTTTGCATTAATTACTTCTTCTGTGTCTCTGACAGTGAGCACTTAAGATTTCACTCTCAGGGATTTAGATTTGCTACGAAGAATGTCTTAGTACATAAATACTATATTCTCAAAAGATCTTTCAACAATAATGCGTTTCATAGCGCTCCAATTGTACTAGAGGCGTTCTTGCTTGTGGCTACACTGTAATCATGACCCTCAGGAAAGGGCTCATTGACTTCTGATGTTCCTTTTTCGGTCAGCTGCAGGTCGATTCATTGTGTTGCAAGTTTGAACGTAAATTAGTCCCTCCAGACAATGAGAGAGGGAATGAAGCTAAACAATTACGAGCTATAAAATGCATTGATATTGAATTCAATTAGCACCTAGACGACCGCTTAGGCTACCCTGACATGCTCACATTGCATTGGGGGCTATTTTTGATTCGTTACCCAAGAACAGACCTCGCACATGATGATAAACCGGCGCATTTCACGTGACAAATGCAGAATGCAAACCCATGACCTGATTTTACAAAGATTGGAGTCTTATCTGTGGCTTCGTAAAGTTAGACACATGCATTTACCACCCTTACCAGAAACATAAGCGCAATGAGATAATGACACAGCATACTTTGAAAGCCTAAGTTAATTTTCGAACGTAGGTAAAAAGATCGGTAAAGTATATGAGGTAGCTCCAAAGTCAGAAGTTCATATTAGGTTATTCTTTAACTAAGGCTTATTAGAGAGGAACCAAGCTAAAATAATGTAGTATCTTGCTGGTGAATGATGGCCTCTTCGTTAAATGGCGATATAGGATGCATGGGTAAGGAAGAATTTGTTCTATGATGCATCAGCATGGTCAAATGCCATTCAACAAACAGCCAAGCATTACAAATATCTTGTTACTCTTTTTACTCAAATACATAATAGTAGAAAGTTTCTATACAAAATAGATTAAGTTGCTGCCTAAAATCATAACACCTGGTGTGGTCAACATATTGGGTTCTACGTCCATCACATGAGCATGTAGGTGATTAGTTTCCGTTTAAAGCAAGACTGTTGGCGATTGTAGCCACTGGCAAAATGGAAGCGTATTGCTGCCCTTTCTCATCTCTAGAGTAGGTGGTAGCTTCAAATATGTAGGTTCAATCTGCACACTTTTGAAGTTTTCTTATGATTTCATTCCACAGTTAACTCATCCGTAAACTAAAGGCCTTTGGAAGCATCAATTTTCATGTTTCTTTTTAACCCTAGGTAACTACTACTACTCTCCAGACTTCGAAGTGGATTAAGCCATTCCAAAACATCTGAGTACTTAAAAATACATTGTTAAGGCCAATTTTGATGTGAGCAAGCTCACGTATTTTTGCTACTCTGTAGTTTTGACGAGAAGTTGATACTGACATTAGAGCGATTCCCGGTTCACATGGATATTAGGGTGAATCACGATTTTCAGTAATCGAGAGTGGCAAAAGTAGATTAACGGACCATCAAGTGACATAGTGACCACTAATTTGGGCTAATGGACGGTTCTCATGCTGTGCGTGAGTCCATTAATAAGTGAGAATTTCGTATGTTTGCATTAAAGGGTTGGTAACGGTTATGCTCAGTGATTATACCAAAGCTTGCTGCACTAACTTTTGGCATAGATCGTCAAATTCACGAGAACGGCAATGGAATTTCTTTGCAAGGAAATCAGCTGAGTGCATTAGAGACGCAATACTACTTTAGGAACGATTGGGATAAAGTGGACGGTTGTTCAAAAATCAAAAAACGACAAGTTGCAGACAATTCTATTTGATTAAAGGTGTGGAAGACGAAAATCAATTTTTTGAGAAGGAGGGAAATTAGCCCAAATGAATGAAAAAAAGACGAATGCAGATTGGAAAAGGACTTGTAGTTGTTTACACTAAGCAAATTTTAACAACCGCTGGTCGAATAATGCCTGTTTCGATCAAAGCTAAGTTTTTTGTCAGGAAATATTGCGTGGATTCTCGCTTCCTCTTAAATAGTAAATACTTTCAAAGTAGTCGTAAAGTCATGCGAATTTGGGCCGTTATTCTTGATGTGTGCACCAATGGGTTGACAATCGCTTTTCCAAGGCAGAATGAAGTCAAGCCCATCAAGGTGACACTCGAATGTCAGTTTATTGTTCCAAAAAGGTCAAAAAGCAGTTTTTAATGCAAAAACATGAATGGGCGAGTGGTCGAGTACAAATTTGAACAGCTGAGTGATTTTGCATTAAGATTGCAAGAGAAATTGATGAAATAACCGTTCCTCAAATCGCACATTTTCACCATCTGAAGGGCTGCAAAATTATCCTTTTCTTCTAGCGTTACCAATCGTAATGGCCAAAAGTACTAAGCCGTTGTACAAGAAGCGAGATGAGGAGTGGATAAGCCCAGTCATGGTAAATGTAAGTTACAGTAAGGGGTAATGACAAACGTTAATTTCTCCCAGGGATTATTTTATCCTATTCAAGTCCATTTTTTATCTTTTAACGTTTATGCATAATTAACCAAATGTTTTATAGCTCTCATTTTCGTACGGGTAGGTGAAGAATTTTATGCGAAACCGAATCGAGCGGGGTCGATACATATAATGAACCCACCAGCGCCAATGACCTCGGAAATGAAGTTTACACGCAAGCCTAGGTCGCATAAAGTCAGCAAACACGCATACACGCATGCTCTTTCGAGTGATGTGGCCCGATTCTGCAGTACCCGAATGATTAGACAAGCAATGGATCCACGAACATGTTAAAAATCTAAACTCGTAACAGTAGCATAGTGTTCGTAGTGGCAATAAAGGAGTAAAGATCCTGCTGCACTCGAAATACATCTATGCAAGAGTAAAACTGTATCATTTAGTAACTTCGTACAACTTGGTCGCACCAGTAGTAGCTTTAACTCATGACCAAAGCTATGATATGCCACGAAGAGTAACTGAAGTAAAATGGACCATATTTACAACGAGTAAAACATGAAAACAACTTGCTATCCTGGCGTTATTTCTTACAATGAAAAAGAAGGATTCTGATAAGTCGATGTTGGTATGTTGGCATGGAATTGATAAATAAGTTCCCCTTTATTAGACGTTCAGACACTTCTGAGCTGCATGCGAAAAGCATTATTAGCCCCCCACAATCCAAAAAACTACTCCTTCAGAAAGAGCTAATGCCAACGTATTACAACTAGTAATACTTTCAAAATCATAATGTACCGCCATGTGTCAAGGTAAACCTAGACGAGTGTACGGAGAAAGTGAGCATGACCCTGAAAGCTGGTTTACAGGAAACAGTTGGCCTCTGTATGTGAAGTATAATTGAAAGAGGCTAATGGCAGCCATTGCATTTACTAATAAATACTGACATTTTGATCGAATCAGAGTTTCAGATAATGACTCCTTACTTCACTCGAGTCAGTTACTTTGAAGATGCACAATGAATGGATTAGCCGAAGCTGTTCCGCTCATAAGGATAAAAAAGCGTATACAGCAACTGCAAGCCACCATCAGCATCGATGACGTGCACAACTGTTAGGTGCTCTTATAAAGGAAAATCTGTCATTTTGTCTCAATGACATTATGCACCAAAAGGACTAAAATAAAATACAGCATTGATTAAAGTAGTTTGAATGTCGGCTCGACAACTAGCTGTAAATAGTCAAATTATTTTAGCTGGACTTTCTAGAGCACACAATATTCGCTGAACTGTGCAGAATATTTGCTTCATTTGCCCATTTCATGGATTATAATTGGTCTACGAGTTCGCCCGTGTGTTCTTCAAGTAAGCAGAACAAAAGTGGTATCTTGGGGCTACTCTAAAATGCAAATCCTGACAGCATCCAGTAAGACAGCCCTCCTGACGTCAGTGAAATCTAGAACACACACCGAAGTTATTGTCTTGAAGTGAATGCAAAGAAACATCGTCCACTAAAACAATGCCAAACTTACCCATTTTAAAGCCCTAAATACTAAATGAAGTATGTTAAGACACTTAACAATGAGTTTTCTGGCTTGACACAAATTGCCGTTTGTTCACATCTAGTTGTTTTTGAGAAAAAAATCCGCCAGATGAGAGAGTACTTAAATGCGAATATTTTAAAGCCTCGAATTAGGTAGCTCCAATGGGACTAAATCGCAGATATATCCACGACATAATTTAACCTAGCAGAAGATGAATGCTTAAAAACGAAGCTCAGACCTTTAATTTTCTACACATTCGCATAAATATGGTGTTATTACTTTGACTGCAGCTTATGGGTTCCCACCACAGCAGCAGAACACTGCTACGGCGAAGGGTTTGGCTAGTGTTTCCGCAGGATTTTATAATCCAAATTTCACCGACATTAGTTTGACCGGTTAGAACACAATGTTTTGTCTTTTTCAGGTTAAATTTTCTTCCCTGTGCGCTTCCTATAGTTGCATTACTCGTATGTCTGGCACAGCCAACGCCCTACCAACAGCCAATCACTGACTGCTAGTGGGCACCAATCAGAAGCAAGTATTGTGCCCCTCGCCGCGAGCGCCGCCGTGTGATGGTGCTATTCAACACCGCAGTTCAGTGACGCGTGCTATGGAGCCGTGAAGGTACTCCATGAAGCCTCTTCTGTCAATTCAAGTCCTAATCACAAATGTCAAACTCTGGGATTATACAGGACTTGGATGACTGGTTGCTAAAACTCGACAATCTCCAAAGGGTACGATTTCATTTTTTTTATTATTTAAGAACTTCTCATTAATAGCGTTTATAACTGTATTTTCTAATGCTAAAATGCCTATTAGTTTAATTCACCAATGAAATGTTTTCATGTTCATTTCAATCGTTTGGCATTTAAGTACACAATGTTCTAAGGCTTCGATATGGCTTGCTCAAAGCTCAACTTCATTTGATTACACACTACAGCAGGAAAACTCGCCTAGAAGTGGACTTCAGACCCGTAGAATCCACATCTGTAAAGCACCCTTACTGATGAAAAACCTCATTGTTGATTGTTGTTTAAAAACCAAATATTTGATTTTTATCTTTCTGTTCTTTTAGCGCAATAGTCAACTCCTAATTTTTGGTTCTGATAGGGCCGAATTCTAACTTCTAAGACGCGCATCATGGCTGCTTATTCCTCACCTCAGCTATGAATTGTAACCAAAACTTTAATTAATTTAACGCATCACAAACGCAAACGCTTCCAATTGAGCCTTCGACGATTATTCAAAATGTGAATCAGTAGGGCCATAGGGCAATGCCGGAGGTGTGCGATAGAGAAACGGCTCCATGCCATGTTAAAAGATGGCAACGCACAAACTGTCTTCCGTAGAGCAGTCAAGAAAATGCAACCTTCACAGATTCACCAAAGATACTTTGTAAGCTTTGTCTCCACAGAACCGCTCTGTGCAATACCTAACGCGTCCATAAATTCACCACCGCCAGAAGTACCTCCTCATTATTCGAGAAGTATGGGATCTGCTTACCACTGGCGGTACATCCTTTCATTTTTAAATGCTCAAATCTGTCTCCAACAGAACCACTTTAAATAAGGGTACGTTTGTTTGCGAAAAAAATACCGATGAAGCACAAACTAGAGAAGTAAGCATGGAAAAATCTGTTTGAAGTTATTGGTCAGCAGCATCACAAAGCACAGAAAGAAGATCCTCGTTCGGTCACGTAGTTAATTTTGGGGTCGAAAATTTTTAAACTAGAAATTTTCAAACAAGCGATTTCATCAACATGCCTATTTCAGAGCCTTTAGTTCTCTAATGTATTGAAAATGTTATGCATCAGGAGACTACTAAATTAATCTGAGATACGTTTGTTGTGTTGAAAAATATGTGATCTTCCTTTTCTACAGGCACTAAAATCTTGTTCCTCAAACCAACCACGTCGACTGCAATCACCGCTTGTACCTACCCGTGAGAAACAGGACGATTTACACTACCGAACCTTAAGGAACGATCAAACAGATGAGGGTCTTCCAGCAACTCAGTTCCAATCTCCTCCACCGATTTCGTCTCAACGTCAAAACTTTCCATCACCTGTTCCTAGGGCGTTCCCTGGCACCGATCCCCCCCAGAAGGAGTTTGATCCGTCCTCCCCGGTACGCCACTACTTCCCTGGTGAGCAGTTTCCCATGCCCAATCGGAGTGCTGGAGAATATTTAAAAGAGCAGAATGGAATTGACTCATTTTTGAATCAGCAGCAGCAGCAGCAGCAGCAACAACAACAACAACAGCCAAAACCGAAAACTGTTAGGTGGTCCTCGGAACCAGGTAAGGTAGCTCTCTATAACTCTTCTTGAGCCATGGATACTGTTCTTTGAAATCACAAGGAAATCAGTCCATAAATATTTTTTTCCGGAGTAATTAATAACATAGCCAAAGCATATGACAGTGTTTAAACGAATATAAGATTTGCAGGTAGCTATCAGGTGACACGTTATTAGCAGTACTCGGCTTTGGATAAATGTACAGCGACTGAAGGGGGTAGTAAAGTGACACCCTGTTAGCTTATGCTGTTTGTGCATAGCACCGTTCTGTTTTTTCCAACTTACTGAGGCATAGTCAAAGCAATCAATTTGTTCCTTATCAGTTAATGGGTTCTCGCAAATAGCGAACGTAATTTATGGCTAAGAACTGGCAGGTAAGTAAGAGTTCTAGTCTTTGTAATCCACTCGTGTTTTATCCACGATGAATGCAGGCGTATTCACCTTAATAATGAAAATGGGAGTATTTTTAATAGACATCAATGCGAAAAACAAGTTAATGCGCATTTCAATTGTCCCTACTGTACGCTTAGAATTTTCTCATGAACGCTTTTTAGCATCCCATCATCCAGATGGAATGCAAAGGCTCGTCAGCAATCTGGACAATGTTAAAGCCGATCTCGTCATCGCCGCCTCGAGATGCTCGGTAAACACAACTTATTTGTCCCTTTGGAATTGAAAAATGAAGTTTCTGCAAAGATTTGTCACTCATCATATTAATAGTAATAATAACTGACTGACAGATGAAAAGCATTTGAAGTGGGATGCTGTTCATTTTCACATCACTAATCAAACCCGCACAGTGAGGCCTATTTTTTGAAGTAAAATTGATGGGATTAGAAAATGGCAGAAACGTTAATGGATCTTACATGAGCAGGCAAATTTGTCACCAGTTTAACTTCAGAAGATTTTTTCAGGCGTTGATTTCCCTCCTTCAGGGGGTTTAAAAACAGGTGTGCGAGTACCGGATTGAAAGGTGGAGGGATGGCCAATAAAATTTTAGGCTGTCGAGGAGTAGGTTCTGTCATTTGCTTAAGAAGATAATGCAAACTTTTTATCAACAATTTTGGAATGCCACCTTGCGGTGACACAAATTATCAAAGGCCTTTTCAAAGTTTGCAAGTAACAATAAAAGCTCGCCATCGCAGGAGAAGGAAATACTTGTTGGAAACAATTCCTCCATTTTGAAACTGCTTCAAAGTATTGTTGCGAGCTGTAAATCACTTGCGTCAATTCAGCATTTCTTCAAAAAAGGTTCAAATCGTAAAATCTACTGAAACTCTGCACCACAGTAAATGTTGCATGTTTTGCTTTCTTCTCTGCTTATTACTTTGAAATATGAGTGGAATTTTTTCGAAAGGTGTCACCAACAGGTGCATTACGAATCACAAAATCTTCAATCACTTCTCAGTAATTTCCTTCCCACATGTGTGAATGACTTGCGAAAAAGAGGGTTTGCCTCGATTCCTGCAGTTACCTTCACAATCGATTCATTTCCACGTACCCCAAACCGATTCTATCCCATCCAGCATGAGGCCTTTTGTGTGTATGAAAAGCTTCATGGATGTAAAATTGTTACACATAAGGTCTGTTTTAATGGGTAAAAAAGATCGAAAAGCTCAACAGTGACTAAGTACTGTTTTAAGAGATGGTCTGCATCTTTCTGACCAAGTAGTACGCATTTCCAAACCGTCAGCCTTCGAAATGTATTAGAGTAAATCATTTAATGTATTAATTCAGATGCAAAATACTTGTCATATTGCCGGTAATTTGAGGAGGAAATGTTTCATAAACAGTGAAATGCATTTCCGCTATGTGGATAATTAAATCTAGATTGTTTAAGAGGAGGTGTCAAGAAGAACTTCCAACAAATGCAAGCTTTTAGAATGAGCAACTTCCACTATTATTCAGAATCTCTAGCTCACCCAATCTTGAAAATTTAGTTGTGATACCTTAGATAGATCACGACATCTTCTATACTTACTAGTCAAATTGTACTCGGCGGGGTCTGAGTCCATCGGATGTTCCTGACATACCTCCACCCCCCGCCTTCATAAACGGCAGCAACTACGAGGACGATTGCTGGCCACATACACAGCCAATACCTGACCAGAATCTCGAAATGGCAAACAGACATCAATTTTCGCCCTCAACAGTACACCCTTCCTCAGTTTCGCAATTTCAAAATGGGACCATGCCAACAGAACGGAGTTCGTTGCAGTCACAAGAGAATTACAACACCCTCACAAGGGGGAGGTCATCTCAGGCCAACGACTGGATAGGCAATTTGAACTTTTGGAAGAGTCTTCAGAACAGAGAGGGCATAGACTCATTGAGACTACGGAATCAAAGGGAGGAAGAACATGACAAGAAGGTACTGCAGCGAACTATTCATATCCTCTCTCTTATAAACTCTCCCTACAATTGAGAATTTACCACTCTTTGTGGAGGAAGGCTAAGTAGAAGCAGCTTTATATTTCAATGCAGGATTTTTCCATAAGACCACGACATTACCAGGTAGTGGGAGTCTAACTATTAAAATGGAGCTTTAATGCAATGCTGAACTATGCCTACTTTTTAAATCACAAGACCTAAAATACTTCAAAACAATTTTGGCGTGACAAACGGTAAGGCATTTAATGTGCAAGCCCTATAACTCCACCCTCCAACTAGCCTTTGTACCTTTTATTTTGAATTCATGTTTCAGAAGACCATTTTGTCAAAAATTTATGCAAATTTAATTCAAATTTCAATTTCTGACACTCGCTAATCAACACAAAATTAAGTTGAATGCGATTCTTGGTACCACATCACGTTGTTCACCTGACTTCAAAGCATCCGCTATAATGCATGCAACACCGGACGACGATCTCAGACAGGTTGGGCTGGCCTTTTCAGGCTCACCTGGAGTTCGATACTTTTTTTCATATTAAATGTCCAGTATAGTTGAATTTCCGTTACTCGTAGATAGTATGCTTGGATTTCATTACGTGAGTGAGGTCTGATGAGCCATGAAGCACTTAAATCAACTGAACGTTTCGAAAGGCCTGAAACATACGTGAGCATGCAAAATAATAGACAAATTTACGTTAGAAGTTTCAGTAAGTGACTTTGAATGTGTTGAGTGTTCGCGGCTTTTGATGCTAGTTGACCTGGGTTCCCAAACTCCAATGCATACCACCCTTCTTTCCCCCTAGCTTTCCACTGACTAGATCAGAACATAGCTACAATCCTTAGTTGGAGGGCATTATAGTGCTGCCTTTTTTTAAACAAAAGATCATTCTTTACGAATTGAAAATACTCCGACTCACCTTATTCCCTAACAGAAAAGCTTCAGTTCTTTAACCTTCCGACAGTGGGAGTGCGTTATTTTGCTGCCATAATGAGGTTTATTACGGTGATAAGAGAAATTAAATGAAATTGCATTCCTTTTTTCCAGTGATCCCTTTGGGAATAGGTATTGAAACACAAGTCGTGGCTATTTGGAGTGACTAATCTTTAAGATGACATTTTTGTACCAAACTTCCTGAGGACTTTGCACTGATGCCTGAGCACTGCTTTAATGACAGTCGACAAATTTTGATATTTCAGTAGCAAGTACCAGCGTTTGACGTTCACTGCATTGAGTAGAGGATCAGTGCCGTTTAAAATACTTTTGCTACAGAGTTTCCCATCACTTTATAGGGGGTAGTAATCCATAATTTATAAGTTTCTTAAAATCTATGTAAAGTAGCTGAAGTTCTTTTCTCTGCTTTAATAACCCATTGATGGCAGTAGCGATCAAGCACTAAAACTCTGGACACTTCCCTCTTATTGGCAAATAGTGACTATAAAGTTAATATTCCCCTTACTTGGTCGAAGCTCCGCTTGATTTTATGAGTAGAAGAGATGAATGTGGGTAAGTTGACTTGCGGCAACTGTTCACTCGCAGGTTATTTTACGAGTCCACCAACCTGACCGGACCACAAAGGCGATATACGTGCAGTCGCGGACTGATGCCGGTGAGGTGGTTCTTATGCTGGCTGCGAAAAACTTTCTTCCTCTGAGCACCAAAATGGCCCTTGTCGAAAAGGTTCCTTCTATGAAGCTTGGTAAGCTTTGAAATTCAATCCTCTATTTCATGAGTGTTCTTAAAGGGCTCTCAAAGGATAATGCTGAATCAGCCAGAAAACATCGAAACTATTTTAGCGGAAATGCATTTTCAAAGATGGGCTTGGTGTCTATTTCATTCCTGACACTGGCACTTTATGTTGATGCCGAAGTTCTCAATCTTGCAATTTCCTTATTAACAATGTCACATGACCTTGCGGGATTGAAATTGATTTCTAAAACTTTTGGTAGTAAAAAGGAGAGGATGAATTCACTGGAGGCTACCACATGGCCATCCATTGCCTGAAAGAAAATTGGCCTTAAATACTGGATGAATATTAATAAGTCCCCACTATTTTTCATCTGAACTATGGTAAGACGACGGCAAAGCCATGACTGTGTTCCACCGGTGCATCATATTAATTTTATCAGAAATACTGCTAGGGAAGAATTACTCCGAAGTAGCGTATATAGTGTTGGGTTGCTTCTTAATCACCACTTTTATGGCATGATTTAACTTTGCCTCAATATCAAGAAGCATGAAGGTCACTGAAATGGGTTTGGTCAGTTTTAGTACGAACTTTTTTACCCTGTTTAGAGAGGTGCTTTGAAGACGATGAGCCTGTGCGGGATTGTATTCTCAGTTGGCCTGTTAACAGTGAAAATCTTATTTTCTTTGAGGAGCGTCACGATCTCTTCGGCTTATTCGAGGACCCGCAGGTATTTTAACTTCTGCTAATTAAAAGTAGGAGTAAGCAATTAAAAAAGTTGTGTAAGCAGGATGGATGGCAAGTCAGAGGCTCAATGAATTAATGCGTCCTACTGGCATTTGACAGCTATGAAAAGCAAGCGGATTAAGCACTTGTTTATGGGAATGTCTTTACAACGAAAGCTGGCTTTGAAACAATAAATTTGAACTTCGGCTGTGTTTGTGAAACACATGGCTTATTTTGCTTACTGCTATCTCATTCAAATGCTTTTCATGCTTTCTGTGAAATCACTATGACAAAATGGAATGCAATTTTCTTGTCTGCACCATCATTGTTTGGAAATTTTAATGCGAGTCTCCTAACTCATGGGATAAAATTTTCATATCGTAATCGAGATACACTTTGAGCGTTGTAATTTAATTCATGCATTGCTTTGTTTGTTCCTAAATGAAGACTTGGCTTGGGTCTACGCTGGTGGGGGAATCCGCGCAAATGAAAAATTCGCTTCTGATAGTAAGTTGCATTTCCCCAAACGTTAAAAACGCTGAAAAACTTGTGCGATTTGATAGTAACGTGTTTGAAAGTCCCCAATCCCTAGTGTTTTCGATAGAGCTTCATGTACTACCATGAAGTATTTAGCAAATACTAGCTCAGGAAATAGCTCTCCCACGCATTAATACAGCGACCACTGCAGGTAGCCTAGGTGACTTTAAAATAATTGAACTTTTGAGGAAATGTAAATCGGTTTTCAAATATTTTTGAATTTAATTGCACCAAGTAAAGCGAGTCGTACCCTATTCGCCGTAGCTACCACACATCATCGGACTGGTTCCTGGAATTAACGACCTTCTGAGCTGTACACGATCGTAAGCTTAACTCTCATTTTTCTTAGGATATCCTTGAGAAGGATGGCGCCAACAGACTTCCGCCTTTCAAAGATTATTTGTACATTTTACAACCCAGCAACAAGTGGAAAAGGCGGTACTGCGTTCTCCGCAGTTCCGGTCTCTACGCTTCAAAAAAGCAGGGTTCTGATGTAGGCGAATTGCCCCTTCCTTCTCATTTCCGCGTGAAAAACTACCCCCTTTTTTCCTTGCAGCAAAATTAGTGAAACTTTTGCTTTGCTGTTGGCAACAACAAGCAAGCAATTGTTTTTGTTATTCCTAAGTTCTCCTAGCTTTTATAGTACCGGTGGTGTTAGAGAAAAAAGAATGCCTTTGAAACCAAACAAGTTTCAAAATGAGTGACTCGGCAAACACTTCGGTGTGTATGGTTCAAAGCTGTGACATACAAGGGGTTGAAAGTAGATTAACCAATTACTAAAGTGATCTTTTAGTATGCAATTGCCATTTCTCACAGACCAGGACCTACATGGGGTGAGAAGTGCCGTTGCACATTTTAATTTACTATAAAGTTAAATAAGGCACGCATGACTTCAAAGTGATTAGGCGAATTGGGGAAAAACCATAAACTCTCAAAGTGGTTCAGTATTGAATCATTTTCACAGGATGTTACCGTCATTTTAGCCAATCGACCACGTTCCATTTAATGCGTAAGCACTTCAATACGCATACTTATAAAAAGTAAATATTTTAAGAAGCTAGTGAAGGTCCACGACTAGTAACACTTTCCACACTAGCATTACGTCAACCATCCTCTAATTAATAGTACCGTGTATTGGAATGCTAAGCGCTTTTAATTTCCTCCTGCGTGTCAGAGCCACGAACACTACCGGAATTAAATGACATGAACAACAATTATTCTTAGGGCTATTTTGTCCTACAGGAATTGAATGTTAGGATAACGACATCACTGAACATGTTAATTGGCAGATCATTTTCAGAATAAACTAATTAAAATTAAGCTGGTCAGCACTTTTCACCATAGGTATCAGAATTGGTAAGAATCACGGCTTTTGGAGAGCACTTGCATCTCTACACGACAAGTGGCGGTTGGCGCAAGGACAACACACCAACACCCTACGGGTTCGTTCTCAAGGTGAGACGACATCATGAGGCACATTTTTCCCCAAATTCATCACAACTTTGGAGCCTTACAAGGTCTGCGCTCGCATTTGACAGAACCGTAGCTTATCAGTTTTGCTTACTGCTAGGACGCAGAGATTTTGTTGACTTATTTTGGCGAAGGCACGCATTATGTATGTTTTAAACTAACCTTTAGTTTCTTTTGTTAATGTTAGAGCATGAAACGTGTTTATGTACCCCGCGGGTTGTCTGATCTGCATAAGGCCGCCTTTGTGGAGCGTGCAGCTTCTCAAAGCATCTCTGCATAAGCGTACATGATCATCCGCTCCCTATTTTGTGTTTTGCATATCGAGTAATCCTGTACAGCGGCGGCAGAGCAAGTGACGGCACTGAAGCACATGCATTAGTAATGGCGAGTGGGGCCAGCTACCCTTCTGCCTATATTAAATGCGCGTCTGTTCATCCATGACAGCGGACGAACACCGATGTAAAGAGCAACAATGACGCTGCACTATTCTATAGTATCTGTTGAGGCTTCAAGGCAAAGGTGCGACATTTTAATAACACATTCAGTCTCTGGTACTGATGTTACCTCCACCAAAATATCTTTCAATCGTGATGGTCTGTTATCGTAGAGCAAATACGCTACCTATCGGCAAATGTCAAATCAAGCTCACAAATAAAATTTACTGCCTCCGATCGTGAGTTGAACTTGTAATGCAGGCTAACGTTTAGATGGCATTTGGCTCTCACTAAAGTGAGTTTAATAGAGTCTGTCTAGTTGTACTTGCAGGTTACTTGTTAAACTTCTCATGAAACAAGAGGCGTGATAGTTCAGCTCCAGGCTACCTTCCTCGCATGAAGTTTAAAGGTTAAGCATTGCTTAGGTGGGTAGCGATTATTAGTAAAGTGTACTGGGGCTTGCAATGGCATTCAATTCGTAGCTACGCAGGTAGACTCTCAGTTCATGATGCATTTTTTGAAATTCTGCACTCATACGTCATAATATATCATCTGGTGTAGACGATGAGATGGGTAATTTCCGAGCTGGTGGTTTTTACCCTGGCTTGAACGAAATAGGTCACATTTTACATAAATGGGGTTTTCTAAGTGAACAATTAAATTGTCGCTTGACAAGTGCTCGAAGCTATCCTTACTGGCTTAAAAAGTTCGTGAACATGACATTAACGGCGTTTAAAACCAGTATTACGGGACCAGTAACCGAAACAGCGTCGGGTTACTTAGGCATGAGCTTACTTTTATGCGCTGCTGACTCATCTGGGCGTCGCCGCTGCGTTGGTTGCCACGGCGCCTACTTACGCAACCGCTGAAAACTTGTTTCACTTCTGTTCATGCACCAATTTCGGAAGAAGATCTCATTATGTGGACTCTTTTTTTCGCTTTTTTGCTAATTTGACTTTAAACAAATACCTTTTATCTTAGTCCACCTTTAGGGTGACACGAAAGTGTTTTGAGGTCGCATTGAAATGCACTTGAGGCGGATGAGCGAGGGATCTTTTCCAGCCAAGTCCACAACGTATGTATCAATGCTTGCGGTTTCACGGCATACCACAAACAAGACTATTGTTTATCTACCTTTAAATCAACATTAAATTGCCATAACCTCTGACTTAACAAACGAACGACGTGATTTCACTGACATTTATGAGGGAGGAATGGTCACTATAATTAGCATTTTATTTCAAATGGGTGTTGTGGGAAGGAGGCGAATTTGGGTTTGGTCCTGTTTCTACAGCATCTCACGCAATGACAAGCTTACTTTTGGTACCTACTCGTCACCCACTTTACAATTTTTTCCGTTTATTAATTATAAGCCCCACTCTGTCGTGACAATGGATCCGCACATGGTTAGGGCATTCTGCGCAGCAAACGAAGAATCCCTCAGGATTTGGTGCTCCCTCCTTCGAATCATACTTGTAAGTTTGCACTTTTGCCTGGAACCTTGTAACGCTTGTGGAAGTCTTAAGCTTCGATAGTTTATCAACCATAGTTTCAGCAGTCCATACATATTGTTTTAATTTAGCGCTTGAATATTGGATATTTCTACGCAAAACACCCTACTTTTTATCGTACTTTCAGCGCTGAAATTTTGAACCTGTTCAAACTTCTGCAAATGTTGGAACATTTGTGTAAGATAGACTCGCGTCAATTATAGGAGTGTTTTTGTGAAAAGCTAGAAATTGGCCAGCTTTGCGTTCTACTGCACCCATTTTAGGAGTAAATAAAACGGACATGAAAGCGTCAAAAGTTCGCCATAACAACGCCCAGACGGAAAAAAGTACTAATGTTCTGCCTTGTTACTCTGGCGTTTCGAAGTGCTTGACTAATGCGGCTTTCCTTTATTATGAGGGCGAATATGTGTTGAACAGGATTATGTTTAAATGTTGCGTGTACAGGTGGGCCCTCGACTATTACAAAACTATCGTCAACGGTTGGCGGCATGCGCGTTGAATTATCAACTGCCTAATGATTGTGCGACTGGTGATGAAGACGGATTAGGATCTCTGGGAGGAACGGATGAGGAAGCGTCGGCGAACCAATTGGCAGAACTGGTGCGCCAAAAGTATGCGCGGGAAAGCAACGTCTACTCGGGCGCGGGGGTACGCGAGAGCGCTCGACAGTACGCTAAACTGCCCGCCATTGCTCGAGCCCGCTCTGTTTCGCAGATCCAAGCACACATCGCCACTCACCAAGGTAGTCTCAACTGCAGTCAATTCTCCCTCGGCCCAGCTGACAGGCTTGGCGCCAGTGTAGGCGACCTCGGCTTCGTCTCAGGTGGGTTGCTTTATCCATCTCCTCTTTCGCAGTTGTGCCACTACGTCAGAAGTGTGAAATTTCACTAGGTTGAGTGGGTGGTAGACTTGATATAAATTTCAGAAGATACTACAAAGACTCGAGTGCGGTTGACCAAGCTCCTTAAGAGTGAGGCAGGATTGATTGAGGGATCCCTCCCCGTCCAATAGCTAACTGCTGATTTTCAACTAATTTATGTGAAACAACTGCACCTTATTGACAGTCGAAAATCTCTAGAAGTTGCTTTCCCCGATTTTATGTCACAAAAAATGCTGAATTCATATTACAAGTTTAGCATGAATTGCATCCAGAACGTGGAAAGCCACTGTCATAGGCGTAGAAAATGCAACCGACATTTTACTACTTTTCAAGATGACCCACTTAACAAAGAAGTGGTGAATTTTTTCTGTGATTTCTAGAACGAAACACGGAAGTCGAATGTTGTCAATTAATTTAAATCCATTGTAGCGAATTTAGCAAAGCTAAGTGAGTTACCAGAGGTGTTAAGAATCATGGCGCTTTTAAATCACATCAGATGCTTTGAACTGTAAATTTAGAATCAGCGGGAGAACTGGTAAATTTATTTTGGAGAAGTCTTTGCGTTGGTTATATTGTTGCACATAAAAAACATCTTTAAGCGTAATCCTTCCAGCACTTTCCACTTTCCTCTCTGACAATGGTTTTCATAAGTTAATGAAGTTGGTTCTAAAGCCATGATACGCACTGTCCAAAATTAGGATATCAGTCTTTACTTGACTTGCTTGTTAGGAAGAACTGATGTAGGGAGAACATCGAGCATGAGTGAACTATGTGCTGAAGAGCGCAAAGCTACAACCTCCAGCACTCAGAGTCTGAACGCGAGCCAGCGTTTGACCTGCCTACTCAACCCGCTGCGGTGGTCTCGCCGAAATGTCAACGAGGCGACGACACCACAGCCGATGCGTCGAAGCACCACTCGAAAGGGACCCTCTGCTCGAAAGTGCAATCGGTCCAGCAGCAGCCTCCATCGGCCTCCATCCATATCGCCCTCCTCCTCCGTCTTCTTCCTACCACATGCTGAAGACTCAAGTGCTCGCAACTCTGCTGCTGTGGAAGAAGAGCAGCTGAATCCATCAAGTCAGCGACAACAGCAGCTACAATTGCAACAGCCACAACTACAGCAGCAGCCCACTTTAATGTGTTTGAACCAGCGGAGACAGACTACAGCGCCACAGACGCCTCGGTCGCCACGACGCTTTGGTCCATTTATAGGCATTCGACCACAACTCCTCCCCTCCCAACCCTCACCTGTGGCTCTTTGAAAAACAGATCACATATATTTCGTTCCTTACTTTGTACAGGACAAAAGTGCAGTCACTTGCTCAATCATATCAGCATAGATCATTCGGCTATTTCATAGAACTGTGTGTACCCTACTGGAACATACACATCAATCTAATGAAAACGATTATTATTTCGCACCTAATGCGGTTTTCCTTACGGGGTCTAAGGTCAAAATGCTGGCTCTTTCCAGAAAAGTCTGAATTGCCCATATACATGAATATGCTTTACAGCTAGTCCCTCGAAGTGAGTACAAATGAATTTGCATTATTGAATTGATAGCAAATTTGACGATTTACGTACTTCACTTTCTTTTTACTAGTATTGTTTAGTAGCATTGAAGGACCGTTTTCCTTTTATGATCGCGCTAGCAAACCTAGCACATGTCATCCCTCACCGGAGTTTGTAAAGGCGAATTTTTTCGAATAGGCGGAGAAAAAAATCACGCTTCACTGAAACCTACTATGCATTATAAAATGACACTTTACCACCTTTTGGCAAGAATTTGTTCCAGATGATTTTACTTGAGGGGTGATACAACAATTTTGTTAGCTTTTGCCAGTGTCCTCTGCAAAAAAACGCCGTACGAACGAACTACTTGGTTTCTCTTCCAAATCCATGTGGTTCCAATAAATTACCCGAATTTTTCAGCATCAAATTAAAAAATAAATACACCTCATCACCTTTTATCTAGCACTTCCAGTACAAAGATAGGCATAAATGGCGAAAATTGAAAACGTTTATTCGGAAGCGTTGAATTCTGCCGCTGGCTGTGGTTTACACTTGGCAATAACAACAAAGTGCTCCTCTTAAATTTGTATTCTGTCAGTTTAACATCTTTGTCATTATGTTCTCCTTCCGTTTTATCAGGCCTGCTTAGGGGTTTACCGCCTTCAAAAAGCTTTATTATGCATCGCAACTGGAAAGTGGGGGCTAGGTAGCGCATTAAAGAAGGAAAGAGCAGGTATTTGCCTCTTCTTCACTCATGAGGGTTTTTCTAGTCTATTAGCAATACTTCCTCGCATCTCACCCAAAGTTACGGGTGAGCCTGAATTCCCATATTGATAAGTGAAAGCGGGAACTGTATACTCTTGCCTGTCATCATAGTACTGTGCCTTTCATAAAGACTTAATGACGTAAACACTGGCAAAAAGTGCATCTTGTTCACTGAAATCAGAAATCTCCCCTGAAAGTGCTATATATTAGTAGCAATGGCAGAAAGTACAAAGGTATCACCCTTTCAGTAGCATAATGCTGCATTGGTTGATGCAGTTGAGCCCGACAGACGTCTAGTTCTACTTGTTCTTTATGCATGAGACTGACTTGTGGAAAGAGACGGGATTCGACTTAGCTACAAATGCCCCATCAATGTATTGGAAAAAAGTACTTTGCTTAACTTGCCTGACGTAATGCCAAAATATCTTCGGTCAGGTTTTGAGGAAAGTGCTTGTCAGATTGCTATCCTCGCAGGCATTGTAGCACCTTTGTCTGAGGGATGCCGACAAATCAAACCGAAAAGTGTCAATTTACACGTCTGTTATTGCTACGAAGAAACTCAGCAGATTTTTAGAGTTTTCCTTTCTGCAGCACTTTACAAGTTTTAATTAGGACAAGGAATGTTCAAGCAACTTTACGCACAATTGTCTCGTTGTCTTCTGCATCGACTTATTTTTTCTTTCAAAGGACTGAAGACTTACTGAACGGTTAGTTTGCTAGACAAGCAGTAAATGAGTTAAAATAAATCCCTAAGGTTAACTTATGCATATGCCAAAACTTGAGAGCAGTAGCCTGAACTGGCAAAGTGTTTCAGCTGAACTTTTCACTCACAAGCCCAGACCCAAACCCAAATCTCTCTATTCTAGTAATCACGGTTTACCACATCCAATGTCATCCGTCAGTATGTTACATGAATGACCAATCTTGGAGACATGCAATCACCAAGCCTCAAGTTGCATTTCGAAACCTCATTCGTACTTTTGATAATGAGTGCATCCTCCTGCACTGAACTCGGATATTTCTTAAGGAAGTAACATTTCCATTTAATAAATCACAACAGACCTCGTTAAGCAATGGAGCATCGAAAAACAGCTCTTCAATTTTGTGGCAAATGATCATGGCTAGAATAAGTAGCATACATCGACTTGCATCGTTCCCTAACATTCTTCCATGCGCATCCCATCATATTCATTTTGCTAAAATATAAAGCCTTGTGAAGTGTAGAACGTTTCACACATTGAGTCGACCCGGACTGAACAAGTCACGAGCGAATATAACGATGCTCCGCATTAGCTACTAGAAATGGTCAGCATTCCTTCCAACCCAATGCCTCACATAAATTTTCTAGCCCAAAGTGATGTTTATGTTCAAACTGCACACCTTTCAATCACAATTCTTTTACTTTCATATTGAGACTAATAGTTCGGGGTGATTTCGTGCTTTGATATGCGTGAAGACACATCGCGAAGTGCTAAACGACTCCCTTTAGTAAAAGGAAGTTGTAGTTCCACATTATCATTGTTTCACAAACACTATGAATTAGAGTGATCAAACATGGAGAATAGATGAAGCAAACGAGGCCTTTGATAAGAGTAACTTTAACACAGTAAGTTACAAAAATCTATTTTTGAAATGAGTATCCATTGAATAGCCTAAATGCCATCAATCCTTAGAACATACCACAAAAACATTGACAGTAGTGGCTTCAAGACCAGATACATTTTGCTGCGTAGACAAATTGTCACAATGTACATAATCGCGCTCACAGTGCCTTTGTTGGCCATACTAAGTGAACCATGCTCATGCATTCCTGCCCCCAATGAGAAACAGTTAGTAGAAGTATTACAACTCCTGCCCTAGTATTTGCAGGTGATAATTATTCTGAGAGAATGCACTGTTGGCATTTCTCATGGCATAATTCCTCCAGCTTTCCCACCTTGAGCAATGTCATTTGTCAACTTTCTCAAAAAATTCAAATCGTGGTTAGCATGATCTCAACTGAACTTGGTGCGAGTTCAGAAAGGACATGATACGCCAAGCAACGCACCCCTATCACTTCGACAACACCACAATACAAGGCATTGAAATGTGCAAAATGAATTACACTCCTGAATTCAAAACATAACAAGGAATGTCCGGCAGACAGCACTACAGGACAGAGCACGCCACTAAAAAACATTCGAGGGCAACCACTCCATGTGATACTCAAATGCGATTAAGTATGAATACCCAATTTTCTCGATCTGACAGTCAGCTCGCTGTACTATACCCATGAGATCTAACTTTCACCAGCACAGGCTAAACAAGGACTTTAACTAAGAATAAGAATCAGGTAGCATGTGCCAAATTATGCCTACCAACGCTATTGATTTCATAAAAGGGAAAACCGGAATGCGGGTAGAAAGTAAAAATAAGAAATACGTAGGAACACAAGGATGGAGGGGGACCATTTCAACGCCACGTCCATGTAGAAGTGATGGACAGAAACGGGGAAAAAAGGGAATGGAGTGCAAACGGACGTCGATCGATGAGTAACTTCAAGGACAACTAGATGCTCATGATGAACTTTTACCAAAACATTTACAATCAGGCTGAGATGGATGCTGTAGTAGACCCTGCAGTGTTGGACGATGCCGCTTCTGCCGTAACTTCATCTGCACCATCATCGACACTTTCTTCTCCTAACCCGCAGCTGTCCTGGGTATCCGCATAAACATAGGTAGGCTCCGTTCGACCTAATATTACGTCCTCGTTGATGATCACCTCAGATATGTCAGATCCAGGCACATCGTATCGGGGCTGCAGTAGCACTTTCTCCTAGGCGAGAAAAAAATACGAACAACTACTCGCTATCAAATTCGTCATAATAATTTGAATCAGGGACTAACCATGATTGCACGGAGACCACGGGCTCCCGTTTTCATCACCATGGCTTGGCGTGCAATGGCCCGCAATGCGTCTTCGGTCACAGTTAAGGTACACTGGGAAAAAAGATCCACAATGTTTTGATGCACGAAGATTGCATAGACGTAGTGTCCTTCAAGATTAATGTAAAAAGGTTTGTACTGCAACGATTATGCAAAATGTATGTGATTTAGTTGAGCATCAATGGAACTTATTTCAGCAATCATTCAAGGCGCATGACTGCGACATCGGAATGGATGGAAGGAGGTACCTTATCAATTTGGAATAGAAGTTTGTATTGGAGAAGCAGGGCGTTGCGTGGCTCGGTGAGAATCCGAGTAAGCATACGCTCACTGAGCGCATGGAAGGCGGTGATAATGGGAAAGCGACCGACGAATTCGGGGATGATGCCAAATTCAATGAGATCGCGCGCCTCCACCTGAGCCAAAAGACGATCCGTCTCCAACATCTCTGCATCACCGTCCTCCGCCACCGTCTCAGTGTCCTCACCGATACTACGAGCAGAGAACGTCGGTGTCAGCGTTGGCTTCTCTTCCAAGTCACCAAAGCCAATCCGCTGCAAATTTAGAGGGTACAAGGATAAATAAAACAGACGCGTTAAAAAAAAAGGAATATAAGGGAGGCCAACAGAAAATGGTCCTTGAAAGGTAGAGAACCGCTTGACGTTGCATAGGCAACGGAGTATATTCATGCCTAAAGTAATTTTGAAGGTGTACTCAAGTTGTGATTCCCTGCTCTACATAAGAAAACATTTGAAAACAATCCAGAAGGGAGCAACGAAGCTAAAATCGCGAGAAATCGTGAATAAGCAATTTGATCACATCTATAATTTCCACAGAATTAAAAATGGAACAAAAGAGTCGAGTGACACCCCAACTACGCATCTTGAGACGAAAAACACAGGTAATCACATACAGGAGTGGTTTGTTTAAAAATAGCAACATTGGTTGTGGTGTGAATTCAATTCGATTAGTGCAATTTCCATCTCCTCCACCAAGAAATCAAGATAATTCCTAGAAATCAATTGAAAAGACAGTCACACATTCGACAGTCTGCATTCCAAATCATGATGTATAATTTATCTGTACTGATTAAACACCCCACACACCTTGTCTAACATTCAACTGTCAACAAACTCTTCGACCATCGAAGTGCAAGCACACATGAGTTCAACAAACCAACACCACAAGCGTCGACTAATACTCACCCACCTCATCACTTTGCACCAACTGTACAATACGTTCGTCTCCACCTCGCCGCAAATTGCAGATGCTCCTGGATACAGTGGTATGGCATGAAACCCTTCTCACTTCTGTAAGGCGCAGAAACACACTACCCCCCGGGCAGTGGTCAAGGTGGACCATAGTGGTCCCAATATACTTCCAGTGAACAGTGACTCGAAAACACCAATCCGCCAAATTCCAACACCTCCCCCTCCCTACTTCTCGTAACGACGACTTCACACCTGTCTCCATCA